TTTATTTTAAATACATGTATTGTGGTTCCAAAGGGATTCTGGGGTTCAATCACTTGCCGAACACATGTTGCCTACTTCCTTCACCACCTCTTCATTAGCAGCTTTTATTTAATGGTGCTAATATCTTTACCATTTGTCACTATGACGTCAGACCTTTTCTGAACATATATCCCCCAAGCCATACCTTAGACAAGCTATAGTTCTTACATTCTGCAATGTCTAATAGCCTTTTAATTCTATTAACCCTGTTTTTCAAAATTATTAATTTCGTGCCATCACAAATTATATTTGATATTTAATTCCAATAAGAACAGTCTCATTTCACATTTTAAAAATCTTAAATACCTCTACGATAATTTCCATAATTAAGTGAAAGTGAAAATTTGTATAATTCTTTACTTGGCTTAAAAAACTAGGGCTCCTATACTTGGGAAATTAATACACACCTATACTTTGGCTGCAGTTATTTCATCAGTTTTTTGTGATCTTATTAGCGTTATGTCAAACTTTCAAGAGTACAGGAGCTCTGCCTATTTAACTTTGTTTTATATTGCCTAGGACCATTATATGTACCTAGTAAAACTTAATAAGTACTGTCAACAGATGGCAAAATAGGTCAAACCTCAGATTTTTATTTTGTCTATCTTCTGAAACACCAATGGTCAAAATGCCAGTTTTCAAAGTGAAGACCAAGGGCAAATGTTTGTTTAAGCCAACAATTAATAAACTATTGTCCTTGGGCCAAAATCAGTCTGATTTTTGTAAATAAAGTTTTATTGGAACACAATCACCACCGCCCCTTTTTTACATGTTGTCCATAGCTCTTTTGTCCTCCAAAGGTAGAACTGAGTAGTTAGGACAAAGAGTGTATAACCAGCAAAATTTAAAGTATGTACTATATGACCCTTTACAGAGAGACTCTCAATTCCTAGTTTAGGCAATGAAAATAGACATTATATTAAAATAAGTGATGTTTTCACCTTTAAAGTGGCTTGAGCACCTGGACTATCATCCTGACTACAAAGTACCAGAAGGGATTCCAGGCCAAAAACAGCATCTTGTTCCAGTGCCAAAAGGTCTAGAGAAAAGACATTAAGTTTTACAGTGGTCAGGTAGAGATCAAATGCGCGCGCGCGCGCGCACACACACACACACACACACACACACACACACACACAGAAGAAAACATTAAGGAGTCTAAGATACAGGAAACACTTCAATGAGTAAAGCTAACCTTCCTGAAAAAGTACTTCTGGCATTAATTACTTTTCGAATATAAAGGCTATCTTTAGACATCTGTATTTCCATCACTTTATTGAAGGTTATAAAAATATACACATTAAATCAAGAGTTAAAGCCACAAAGGTTTAAATAAAGCCTAACTGAAATACTGTCACCAGCTTAGCTGAGGAAAATACAGGATCAGCAAACCATGTAGCATGTGCTAATTTTTCTAATCAAACATAAATTATGCAGGTCCATTTTCACCTAGGATGTTACCATTTTCAGCTTCTAATGAAAGCCGAATCACTTTTAGGAAGTAATCAGGACCCCACATAATCATATTAATCTTTTAACTCGAACCATAAGGAACGAATCCCTTAGATGTCTCACGTAATAGCAGTATTTCAGCATCTTTTCACTACCTTAGGACTAAAATCTCTCAAGAGGTTCTAGAAAGTTCTGAATATATTAGTTAACCATATTTAGGTTAATATATGTCAGCTTTGAGAACATATAGCCGTTTTCTATGCTAAATGATAGAAAATACTCATTACTATGCCAAAAATAAAACAGGTTTAATTAGATCCTTTTGTAATTTGTAAGTGTGATGATTGGGTGTTCATGCTTTTGCATGATGTGCCTCCCTCAAACCTTGTTATGACATCAGCATATTACCCGTCTGACATGGAAAAAAAAAAGAACGAACACACAACTTAAATAAATTCCTCCTGAGTTAGAATAGGGGCTTGGCAAACAGTGTAAAGGCTAGTGAAGGTCAGGTGCTAGAAAAAACAGGTGCCAGGAACAAGCAGTGCTGAAGGCCAGTGGGGATAAAAGGGAACGCTGAGCCTATGATCCTTAATAAAGATCAAAACAGGCACTGAAACAGACGGAACATCCAAAATACATTTCCTGTTTTTGAACACCAGCCTGAACTTCTCCAAGCCTTTAGGTCAAAAGATATTAGGAATACAATAAAACAGTATATGCATTATTTTTTATGAACAGCCTTCTTAATTATGCAGATCAGTTTAATGCTCTAGATACCCAGAGATAAATTTTATGAAAATTTAGTCACATGGCTCTGTTAATTCACTTGCCCTTGGTGAAACTATTTGTTATTTAAGCCCCTTGATAATTTAAGATATTTCTTCCTAAATTTTCTAGGTTTTTGTACAGGTGAACAAAATTGCCTTATCCCAAGGGGAGAGTCACAAGGAGTCTCTTACCATAGCACCATGCATGTAAAGGTAAACAGTGGGAGGAAATGGGCAATGCTCCAGAAAACCTTTCAATTCCACAATCCCAATCTCAATTTTTTTCAAAGGATTAGGTACTCGTGAGAAAATCTGCTCTAAGAACACTTCAGAAGGAGGCAACTAGGAGATTAAAGCACACTGGCTAAAAATAAGGGATTAAAAAACCAAGCTCACACAGAAATCTGCCCAAGCTCCAACCCAAAAGTTTATACGCAGTACCAATCCTGATGAAACTTACCTTTTTCTTGACAAGAGACGGTTATATTGGTTAGGACTCTGACTCCATGAGCTGCAATGCCCCGGTTATTATGGTAACAACACTCTTGGGCTAATCTGACTAAATCAGAGGATCTGGGAGAGGAGTCCACATTTCCTAACCAAACAGAAAAAAGTAGTACAGGTTGTAATCCATTTATATATGAGGTCTGACAATTAAGTTCACACACCTGTTACAATGATGTTGCTAACCTTTTTTGATATCAGAGGGATTATTCATTATGAATTTGTGCCAACTGGACAAACACAATTAACCAAGTTTACGATTTAGAAGTGCTGAAAAGGCTGCATGAGAAAGTTAGATGACCTGAACTTTTCACCAACAATTCATGGCTTTTGCATCACAACAATGCACCAGCTCACACGACTCTGTCTGTGAGGGAGTTTCTAGCCAGTAAACAAATAACTGTATAGGAACACCCTCCTTACTCACCTGATCTGGCCTCCAGTGACTTCTTTCTTTACCCGAAAATAAAGGAAATATTGAAAGGGAGACATTTTGATGACATTCAGGACATCAAGTGTAATACGACAGCTCTGATGGCCATCCCAGAAAAAGAGTTCCAAAATTGCTTTGAAGGGTGGACTAGGTGCTGGTATCGGTGCATAGCTTCCCAAGGGGGGTACTTCAAAGGTGACCATAGTGATATTTAGCAATAAGGTATGTAGTACTTTTTCTAGAATGAGTTCATGAACTTTATTGTCCAACCTTGTAGTTCAAAAACATCTCAACTTATAAGTTCATTTTCGCGAGAAAAACCTCCATTAATAAACTTTAACAAAATTTTTTACCTCTACCTCATCCATCATCAATATACATTACCATTTCTCTTTCTCTTATCAAGGTACTTAGAATAGGTATGTGCTAATAGTTTTGTAATGATTAGGATCTAAAATCAATATAAGATATTCTCACAAAAATATTACCAAAAACTGACTAAGCAACAGTGCAAAAGCCAAAACAACTACACACTATATCTTGGGAGTTCAAATGGAGGTCATTAAAGGCTTCTTGTCAGATAAAACCTTATCTTCAAAAAAGGAATAAAAAGAAACAAAAATTTAAGGTTTGCTTTTCCTACCTCAATTGCTGGCATATAGTTATACCTCAAAAGGTATACATTAAAATTCATGATTTTAGAGCTGGAAAGAATTTGGACATCATCTGATTCAATACCCTACTTTTACAGAAGAAATTAAAGCCCCGCTTAGGCCAAACTCGCTGATTTGAAGAATCAGAGCAAATAAAATGGCCATGGTTTTAAGTCACTAAGTTTTGAGGGTGATTTATTATGTAGCATTGGGCAAGTGCTACAGAGCACCTCACAGGATTACTAGAAAGGCTGAAAAACTAAGCCCAGAGGAAAGGTGAGGCTAGGAACCAAGATCACAGCCCAAACCATGCATGGAATTAGCCCTGTGAAGACATTTCTGCCAATGTTACTGGCATCTTGATGTCACAACTTACACTGCTGCCAAAGGTACAAGACATAGCAAACAACTGCGCTAGAGGGTGCCCTGGAAACTGGATGCTGCTATGGTCATTGCTATATCAACAGAATACATTCTCCCACATCACTACTTCTTGTCACTGGCTCCCAATGCAGCCTTTGGTATGAAAATGATTAGGTAAGTCCAGGCCACATGTGTGCACCTCAGGTGGACGGGAGGCTTGGCAATAGAATATCAGGTCTTTCCAGCTTCCTATCAAGACTTCTATGTCAGGGAATTCCCTTTACCCAGTAAAGTAAGTTCATATGCTGTAAAACCATAAAAAGGACCAATGTGTATTATAGTTCTTTAATTAATTCAATTCAAATTAACTGACTACAAAAGGAAGTATAATAATAGAGAGGCCACAAAAGTTGCATTAAAACAAAACAAAAAACTTCAGTCTTAAGTCTGTTAGGTAAGCAAGCTCTCACTGGGCGTTAATAGACATTTTGGAGTTAAATCATCTTAGGAACCAGGAAAGCATTACTGAACGGGGGTAGTTTTATTTTAATCATTTTCCAGAGTGATCACATACACCTCAAAGATAGCATCTGACATTTGCTTTTAAAATTCACCATCACTTGGCGTTTGAATTGTACTTAAATTCAAAGGGCACTTTGAGTCACAGACATATGAAAGCAAACCAGCTATTTTAAGCATCCTCAAAAATATTGTTTCACTCACCTATAACTCAAAAAAGGGCAAATCTAGAAAACAATATCCTTGAGTTAGATCAAGGATGCAAGATTTTATTACCATAGGTTAAGAAATAATTTTCACATAAATCACTAGCATATAACAGAGTATGAGATTGAAACCATTCCAGATTCTAAAGCTTTATAGAGGAAACAACTGGAAACATCACACGAATAAAGGGACTAGCAGCACCTCATCCATATATCATCTCCTTTCTCCTTACCTGAAGCTATGCTGAAGTAATGTTTGACAGCAATGGTCCCTGAGAGGGTGGAAAGTACAGACAACATGCCCAGTTTTAAGCTGTCATAGGGAGTCTGGAGGGCACATTCACAGAGTGCCTGAAATGCAAAAGAGAAGGAACATAAAAGTTAAAACATCAATAGACTTTAAAACTATCTACTCATTTAAAATTGTCTAGCTTTTAGAAAAATTATATATTAATATCTTTTGTCCGCGATAAAAAACACATTTTTTATCTGCCACAGCCAGGAGGAACGTAAGGAGACATGTTGCTAAATTTAATGCAGTATCCTAGATAGGATCCTGGAACAGAAAAAGGCACTAGGGAAAAACTGAAGAAATGTGAAGAAAGTATGAACCTCAGTTAGTAACAATAATGTATCGAAACTGGTTCATTAGTTGTAACAAATGTACCATACTAATGCAAAATATTAATAATGGGAACTGGGTGTGGGGTGCATAGGAATCTTATCTTCTCCATTTTTCTGTAAATCTACACCTGTTCTAAAAAATAAAGACGACTTTGAGGTAGTTATCATGAATGACTTCTGATTAAGACCACTATGAATTACGTACTATTTAGTCCTCATAAGCAGAACTTTTACTGTATTTCTGCTTACCTAAGAGAGATAAATAGTAATTCACATATGTATATTTTTAAAAAATATTACAGAGTGTGTCATTCTATCTAGTTTATAAATAAGTGAGGCTCTAACCTCCTCCTATTTCAGGTCATTTCCTCTACTCCTAAGAAAGTCTGAATTATTACCAAAAACAAGATGCTCGTTTTTCTTTTGATGCAGTGAGCGCATGGTACAGTAATTCTTATTTTAGTCTCATCCTGTATATTTACTTTGAGAAGAATGCGTGTAATACAAATGGTCAAGTAACTGCCATGTTAAATTAAACTAATTTCCAATCTCCCACAAAAATTCAGAAAATGAGCAAAACTTAAAAGACTAGGGAGAAAATGAAAAAATAAAATTTCAGAAAGGTTAAACAATAAATGTAATATGACCCAAATAAAAACAGTGACTAAATCTGGAGAGAGGAGGGTAATGTTTCTAAAGGTCATATAGAAAAATAAAAATCAGAAAATATCCAGAAAAATTGTGACAAAGTAAAATGAGGGACAAAAACAAACCCTGCTAAATATTAAAATATATAATGAACCCATAAAAATTTTGAAAGTAAAATGTTTTTTCCAACTCACAAACGCAGAAATCAATGGGAAAGAACTGGTCCCATAGATAGATTCAAATACACACTAGAATTTAATATATAATAATGACATTTCAAATCAAAGGGACTATTTAATAAACAATTGAAGGAGAATTGCCCAATCACCTCCATAAAGAAAACTAGATCCTCGTTTCTTTTTTGTGGGGGCCCCCCCCAAGAAAAAGAAAAGCAAAACAAAACTGTAAAAAGTACAAAGAATTAAATGAGAAAATAAAAAGTAAAAAGATAATTAATAAAACTGGAAAATACATCATGTAAGATCAATAAAGGCCCAATGACCTTAATATATAAAAAATTCTTAGTAATAAATAGGCAAATGATATAAGATGTTAAACCTCACTCATAATTTGAAAACTTTAAATTAAGAGTTGCTTTTCACCCGTCAGTTTGGCCAACATTAAAGTTTAATAACACACAGCACTGAAAACTGTGGGGAAACAAGGCAGGCACTCTCACACACTGTTGATAGAGTGTAAGATGGTGTAAATCTCATTGTGGATAACTGGCATTCAATCTCAAAATTTCAAATATATGTATCATTAGACCCCCAAAATTTCTCTTTCAGAAATTTATGTTCACAAACGTTTTTTAAAAAAACAAAAACAAAAAACTAATCAATGTCACAATGTAAACAATAACAGTAAAAGTGTTGGAAACTAAGGTCGCATCACTGGGGGACTGGGAATTTAAAGGGCATACCACACAGCTGGTAAAAGGCAAAGAACTACCCACATATATGAGGAGTTCCCCCAAGATGTAGTGTTAAGTGATAAAAGGTTTAGAACATGCACATAGTATATTTCCCTTTGTACAGAAGAAAGATGGGACATACACATGCTTGCATATGGATGAAAAATTCAAGGACACATAGAAACTAGTAACAGTGATCACTCCTGCAGAGAAGACCTGAGGGGAGAGAAGGGACAGGCTTACATTTCACCTATCGTATACCTTTGAACTCTGTGAATTTTTCATCATGTGCATGTATACTTTTTCAAGTGAAAGAAAAACATAGTTAATAACAAAAGCAGAAGCAGCGGGCCAGCTGAGTGGCGCGTTGGTTAAGAACTGGATTGGGACTCCAGAGGGCCCCGGTTTGGATCCCACATATGAGGGCCAGTGACACTGCCCTCCACAGCTAAGATGCTAAACAACAGCTCAACCTGGAGCTGGGCTGCCACGAGTCGCCGGCGACAGCGTAGGCTGCAGCCCCTGCTGCAGTGGGTTGCCATGGTCTACCATATGTAGCCAGCAGCCAGCGTGAGCAGCCAGCAGCTGCAGTGAGCGGCCCGTCCAGAAGCCGGCGACTGATGTGCCTTGCCTGGGAAGAGCACAGTGATGGTGCCAACTTAGGCCAGTGAAGCAACGTCCTCCACAACTAGACTGAAGAACAAAACGACAGCAACTTGTCTGTTCCCCTTT